AGCTGCAGTGTGTTAGTTAAAAAGTGTTATGTTTTATTTAAAAGCTTAAAGTGTAAGCTACATCTAACATTTTTTTAACATGTTTAAGTAGTGTTGTTAGAAATGCATTAGTGTAGGAAAAGTAGTATAGTAGGGTCTTAGCAAAAGTAAGCAACTTAGGTGTGTAAGCAACTCGCCTATAAAGTACGTTATAGTTAAAAGAATTAGAAGTGTTACACTTACACAGGCAGTCTAAAGTCTCTTAGACAGGAGGAGCTTTAAGAAAATTATAGCTTCTAATTAGTTTAGAAAAAACTTAGTAGACTATAAAAAAACAGCTTTACTTTAAGGAGTATAGTGTGGCGCTAATTAAAGCCTCGACCGTCTGAGCTCGCTGAGATAAAGCGTCGCAACTACTTGACACGGCTATTGTAACTTACAACTTCAAGATACAGTCCAACGCACAGCGATATGGATGGACTTTGTAACATAGAGATACACTATTGACGTCGTCCGAAAGCCGCGAAAGCCGCCGGTATCCCTTCCGCTGACGGAACGAAAGACCTGCTCAAGCCACCACGTCGTGATGCTTCTCGAGCCAACCGGCACTAATTCCTCGACCAAGCAGCAGCCGAGATCTTGTCTACGCTCACTGAAGGGGGAATACAGTGATATGATTAGATAGAGTGGTGGAGGCACTGGAAATCAAAGCCTGCGCCTTGGCGAGTGGGTTTAGTGCCACAGGCAGCACGCCATCGTTGCAAACACATACGAAGGTGAGAAGGCCCCGCATGCTCAGGCGATACAGCTGTCGCACGGTCAAACATGAAGCACTGCAATTTCTTGGGCTGTAGAGGTGTGCTTCAGTTCAACCTGGAAGGGTCGTGAGGAGTTTCGTTATCTCACGGGCCATACCCTCTGGAGGGGTCCACCGAGCGTCGGCAATAGGTAGTACCGATTGCCGAGGAGGCTTTGCGCTGCTGCGCCACGCTCGACGAATCACTCCAGAGGGTTAGGGTTACTAAAAACGTGACCTCACTAGCCACAGCGTTGTGGTTGGTCCGGTCAAACCTCGGAGGAGCGTCTGACTCGTGAGATAAGAGTTTTGGGTTATTCATGGTGGCCATGCTTGGCAAGACCATACACCATTAACTACTGCATACAGCACTCTTCTCTTCAGCCATATCTACAAACCATCGCCTCCGGCGCAAGCTCCTGGCCGGTGCGGGTCAGCTGTCCTTCCTGCTAGCATCATCGGAGGAGTTCATCAGTTTAACGAGGCTGAAGAGCCAAATATTGATTATGGGTTTCTATGTAGAGCGGAAGATTCTCGAACCTTCCATGTGGCAAATTTGCATCCTACATATATATTGATGCTGATCCCCGGCCCTCTATGAGACAGAGGGAATAACAAATATATGATAGTAAATAAGAACCGTTCAAATAGTACTAACGCCTTCGGACGCATTAAGCTTATTACGCTCAACATTGCATATCCATACCCTCCCATGACTAGTACCAATGCCGATCATATTGTTAGATACTGCACTACATAACGGCCGATATTCTGATGGTAACCATAAGATGTTCTCTGCATCATAGCTTATCCAGTTACCATCCGAACTCATGCCTAAGTGTGGATGGACTGTGTTATCGCTAGACCCAGACGCTAGCTTTGCTAGCTGTGGCAGCGTCTTGCCGTCGGGTGAGAAGGCCACAGCCCTGACCCAATCCGAATGGCCTTTGAGGGTCTGCAGCGCCTTCCCCGAGCCGGCATCCCACA